GTGTGTTAGCCAGTATGCCTGTATGTGTGAATCAGTGCCTGTAACAGTGTGTCTCTGTTGGTGTTGGTGTGTGTGCCTGTCAGTGAGTGTGTGTTTGTTAGTGTTTGTCAAATCAGCAAGTGGGTGTGTGCCCGTCAGTGTCTCTGCCCCTCCACCCTTTCAATCACATGGGAAAGGTGTTTTTACTCTTCTCTTGGTGCAATGGGCCACTTGACTGGATTTGCCCCCCAGGCCTAAGGCTGCCAGCCTTCCCCTGACCTTCTCATTACTCCAGATAATCTCTCTGTAACTCCTCACGTTATGCCATATAACCTCACCCCATAACTCCTCCTATTACTCTACATAACCTCTACCTATAACTCCAATTATTCCGTATAACTTCTCCCTACAATTCATCCTATTAATGTCCAATATAATTCCTAAGGTGTGTCAACATTTTCATAGTTACTTAAAAAGCAATAAAAAAAATTGATCAAACACATTAAATTTTCAGAAAAGTGTAGTTGGGCACAAAAAGTTGAGAACAGTAATATAAGCACTACCGGCCAGGTGCTCAGTGTTTTTCATGGATGTGGTGCATCATTCCAGTGAAAAAACTATTCCCTACAGGCAGCTTTAACCCAGAGTGGTGGCACCTTGGCCTTCATCACACTCCTTTGACTAAATTCCAGTCTGCATGAATCTATTACTGAAGGTGTCCGCTTTCCAGAATACGGTAACCATATTTTAGAACCTATATCCGAATAGCGTAATGCTGAAAGCACTAAACATTTTGTTATATCCTAGATGTTAATGCACACACCAAATGATTGTATTTGTTTATTAAATGTTAATCTGGGAGAGCAGACTGTTTGCAGAATAGAGGCATGAAGTACTTACATAAATCACACATTACAATGTCTGATCATTTTTGATAGTCTCTCAGATAAACAATATTTTCTAGACATATAATCTAGAGTTTAAACTTGTTTACCAAAAGAGTTTTAGGGATTACTGCAGAGATAAGTGTTTATCCCTTTGTCTTTTTTTCTGAGCTGGGAAGAGATTGAGGGATTTAAAGCATGACAGTTTGGAGAAGAAAGGAAAAAAAAGTGGTTAATTTCTTTGGAATCCTTGAATTTTCTTTTATTATAAAATTGGTAAAACTCAGTTGTTCAGATATTTATTTTTTTACAAGAAGAAGTGCCTTTAGTCTTTAAAATTAGGTCTCATGCACATATGAGATACATGATGCAAGCATAAAAACAGGTCTTCTATACATTGAAGAAAAAATAGACTTGGGACAAGCAATATATATCATTTTAATTTCATATTAGAAATTGTGAAAATATTTTGCATTCGGGAAGTGACATTACAACACAGAATAATTAGAAGAGAAGGTTAATTAACTATTTTCTTCATAGACTGCGTAATAAAAAAAAATATTTAATCATGTGATGATTAAGTGGCAGGTGTTTGGATTTACACATTTACATTTTCTTGTTTTACCAACAGTAAAATGTAATTATTTAAAATAAAAAAATGCATTGTAATGAATAGATAAAGTGAATTGCCTTAGCCAAGATAATACATTTAAAAGGTCGTTGATCTGTATAATTGACTGTTTGACTATATAACTTACAGCATAGTGCTGTCATTATAATTGTAGAACAATGTATATGAGAGTGGTTTATCAAAAATCATTCTGGAGTGTTGTAATATGCTAGGTAATTGCCCTCACATCATTAATATAAGAATTTCAGAGCCCAAATCAAAAGTGCTAATGTTGAAAATTGTCAATATATTGTAGGGTAAACGCTCTCGTATAAACTTCAGGGTGGGATTTATTAACTATTCCTTCTGTGGTCTTTATCGAAAGAGTATTTTAATATAGCGTTGCTATTTTATTGCTATTGGAGATTTCTACAAACCTTTTCTCTTCCACTCCCACCACAAATGACCTCTTGTAAAAACTCTTCATGAGTGCACTTAATATTACCACTCAAAATTAATCAAGGCTACCAAGAAGCCATTAGATGTTCATTACACAATGAGCAATCACACATTGTTTCTACGGTGATCACAATTATCATTGATTAGATATAAATTATGTCAAGCCTATATTGCTAGAGACTTTAGCAATAAGTTTGATGTGACAGTGTCATAACAAAATAATCAATTTGAGTACTAGACAATTTCAGCAAACATCTCAAATATACCTAAATCACAATGTTCACATTTTTGGAAATTATGGGCATTTACAGGATTTAGGAATCACACCATTAATTTGCAATTATACTGTATCCCCATGACTTTATATGTGTGCAGGAACAAAAAAAACAAAAAAAACAACGAGGAAAGGAAATCAATAAGAAATGTTAGGGACCTTTTGTACAGTTTCACTGTAGGGATTTTATTTTATTTTTTTGTCGTGAAGTTTCTCCGCTCTAATCTTTGATGTCATTAGCCAGTGGCAGGGTCGCAGGGGCGGCCGGGCCCCCTGGTCGGCCGGGCCTGGTCGCAGCCGCGACCCCTGCGGTGTGTACCCACTGGGACGGCCTCTTCCCCTGGGGGGGCCCAGGAGCCGACCACCCCAGGGCCCCCGAGGCTGGCCCTGCTGACACCCGGCAGGCAGGTGGCCGGTCGGGCAGGCGGGCGCACGAGGGAGCACTCAGTGCTTCCTCTTCAGCTCCCTCGCGCACCGCACTGATATAGGGAGCTGAAGGGAGCTGAAGGGAGCTGAAGGGAGCTGAAGAGGAAGCACTGAGTGCTCCCTCGCGCGCCGGCCAGACAGCCCGCCAGCACTACTGGACCCCAGGGAATCCCCCCCAGCACTCCAAAAGGTAAGGAGGCTGGGGGGGATTAAATTTTTTTTAAAAACAAACATGTGTTAGTGTTAGAGTGTTAGAGTGTTAGAGTGAGAGTGAGAGTGAGAGTGTTAGAGTGAGTGAGTGTTAGAGTGAGTGTTAGTGTGTGTGTCTGCTAGTGAGTGCCAGTGAGTGTTACTGTGTGTGTCTTACTGAGTGTGTGTGTGTGTGTTAGTGAGTCTGTTTGATGTCTGTTAGTGAGTTTGTGTTTGTCAATGAGAGTGTATGTTTTGTGAGTGTGTATGTATGTCTGTCGCTGAATGTGTCTCTGTCAGTAAATGTCAGACTTGGGACAAGCAATATATATCATTTTAATTTCATATTAGAAATTGTGAAAATATTTTGCATTCGGGAAGTGACATTACAACACAGAATAATTAGAAGAGAAGGTTAATTAACTATTTTCTTCATAGACTGCGTAATAAAAAAAAATATTTAATCATGTGATGATTAAGTGGCAGGTGTTTGGATTTACACATTTACATTTTCTTGTTTTACCAACAGTAAAATGTAATTATTTAAAATAAAAAAATGCATTGTAATGAATAGATAAAGTGAATTGCCTTAGCCAAGATAATACATTTAAAAGGTCGTTGATCTGTATAATTGACTGTTTGACTATATAACTTACAGCATAGTGCTGTCATTATAATTGTAGAACAATGTATATGAGAGTGGTTTATCAAAAATCATTCTGGAGTGTTGTAATATGCTAGGTAATTGCCCTCACATCATTAATATAAGAATTTCAGAGCCCAAATCAAAAGTGCTAATGTTGAAAATTGTCAATATATTGTAGGGTAAACGCTCTCGTATAAACTTCAGGGTGGGATTTATTAACTATTCCTTCTGTGGTCTTTATCGAAAGAGTATTTTAATATAGCGTTGCTATTTTATTGCTATTGGAGATTTCTACAAACCTTTTCTCTTCCACTCCCACCACAAATGACCTCTTGTAAAAACTCTTCATGAGTGCACTTAATATTACCACTCAAAATTAATCAAGGCTACCAAGAAGCCATTAGATGTTCATTACACAATGAGCAATCACACATTGTTTCTACGGTGATCATAGGCGTGCGCACGGGGTGTGCCGGGTGTGCCTGGGCACACCCTAATCCCCGTGCGCACCCCTATGGTTTGAGTCCTGCAGGAACAGCGTTCCTGCACTCTTTTGAGCAGGAACGCTGTTCCTGCAGGCACTCAGTGCCCCCCGTTTCACCTCTTGCCCCTGTCATGGGAGGGCAAGAGGTGATGATTCCCCCCACCCTGCAGCTCAGCCGCGGCGAGGGAGCTCTCTGCTCTCTGCTCTCTGCTCCTCTCGCCGCGCGCTGATGCCGGGAGCCGGAATATGACGTCATATTCCGGCTCCCAGCTCGAGCAGACAGCCCGCGCGGCGAGAGGAAGCAGAGAACAGAGAGCAGAGAGCTCCCTCGCCGCGCGCTGAGCTGCAGAGAGGCGCCCGCCCCCACTGGACCCCAGGGACAAGTCCACCAGCACTCCAGGTAGGAGGCTGGGTGGACATTTAAAAAAAAAAAATTAAAATATAATTATTTGTGTGTGTCTGTGAGTGTGTGAGTATGTGTCAGTGTGTCAGTGTGTGTGTGTGTCAGTGAGTGTGTGTGTGTGTGTCAGTGTGTGTGTGTCAGTGTGTGTGAGTGTGTGTCTGTGAGTGTGTGTCTGTGAGTGTGAGTGTGAGTATGTGTGTGTCTGAGTGTGAGTGTGTGTGTCTGTGAGTGTGTGAGTATGTGTCTGAGAGTGTGTGAGTATGTGTGTGTCAGTGTGTGTGAGTGTGTGAGTATGTGTCTGTGAGTGTGTGTCTGTAAGTGTGTGAGTATGTGTCTGTGAGTGTGTGTGTCAGTGAGTGTGTATGTGTCAGTGTGTGAGTGTGTGTGTGTCAGTGTGTGTCTGTGAGTGTGTGAGTATGTGTCTGTGAGTGTGTGAGTATGTGTCAGTGTGTGTCTGTCAGTGTGAGTATGTGTGTGTGAGTCTGTGAGTGTGTGTCAGTGTGTGTCTGTGAGTGTGTGAGTATGTGTCTGTGAGTGTGTGTGTCAGTGAGTGTGTGTGTGTGTGTCTGTGAGTGTGTGAGTATGTGTGTGTCAGTGTGTGTGAGTGTGTGTGTCTGTGAGTGTGTGTGTGTTTCTGTGAGTGTGAGTGTGTGTCTGTGAGTGTGTGTGTCTGTGAATATATATATGTATATATATATATATACACACACACACACACACACACACACACACACACACACACACGCGCGCGCGGCGTGTGTTTGTGCTTTAGGGTGCACACCCTAATGCAATAGGCTGCGCACGCCTATGACGGTGATCACAATTATCATTGATTAGATATAAATTATGTCAAGCCTATATTGCTAGAGACTTTAGCAATAAGTTTGATGTGACAGTGTCATAACAAAATAATCAATTTGAGTACTAGACAATTTCAGCAAACATCTCAAATATACCTAAATCACAATGTTCACATTTTTGGAAATTATGGGCATTTACAGGATTTAGGAATCACACCATTAATTTGCAATTATACTGTATCCCCATGACTTTATATGTGTGCAGGAACAAAAAAAACAACGAGGAAAGGAAATCAATAAGAAATGTTAGGGACCTTTTGTACAGTTTCACTGTAGGGATTTTATTTTATTTTTTTGTCGTGAAGTTTCTCCGCTCTAATCTTTGATGTCATTAGCCAGTGGCAGGGTCGCAGGGGCGGCCGGGCCCCCTGGTCGGCCGGGCCTGGTCGCAGCCGCGACCCCTGCGGTGTGTACCCACTGGGACGGCCTCTTCCCCTGGGGGGGCCCAGGAGCCGACCACCCCAGGGCCCCCGAGGCTGGCCCTGCTGACACCCGGCAGGCAGGTGGCCGGTCGGGCAGGCGGGCGCACGAGGGAGCACTCAGTGCTTCCTCTTCAGCTCCCTCGCGCACCGCACTGATATCGGGAGCTGAAGGGAGCTGAAGGGAGCTGAAGGGAGCTGAAGAGGAAGCACTGAGTGCTCCCTCGCGCGCCGGCCAGACAGCCCGCCAGCACTACTGGACCCCAGGGAATCCCCCCCAGCACTCCAAAAGGTAAGGAGGCTGGGGGGGATTAAATTTTTTTTAAAAACAAACATGTGTTAGTGTTAGAGTGTTAGAGTGTTAGAGTGAGAGTGAGAGTGAGAGTGTTAGAGTGAGTGAGTGTTAGAGTGAGTGTTAGTGTGTGTGTCTGCTAGTGAGTGCCAGTGAGTGTTACTGTGTGTGTCTTACTGAGTGTGTGTGTGTGTGTTAGTGAGTCTGTTTGATGTCTGTTAGTGAGTTTGTGTTTGTCAATGAGAGTGTATGTTTTGTGAGTGTGTATGTATGTCTGTCGCTGAATGTGTCTCTGTCAGTAAATGTGTGTGTCTGTTAGCTAGTGTGTATGCGTCTGTAAGTGAGAGTGTGTGTGTCTTCAGCACTTACCTTTCTCCAGCGCCGGACTCCCTTGGCGCTGGGGATCCCTCAGCCTCTCAGCTCCGAATGCGACCACGCACGCATTCAAACCGCCCATAGGAAAGTATTACTCAATGCTTTCCCATGGACATTCAGTGTGCTCCTCTAGCGGCTGTCAGTGAGACAGCCACTAGAGGCTGGATTAACCCTCAGTGAAACATAGCAGTTTCTCTGAAACTGCTATGTTTTCAGCTGCAGGGTTAAAACTAGAGGGACCTGACACCCAGACAACTTCATTGAGCTGATGTGATCTGGGTGTCTGTAGTGGTCCTTCAAGTGTGTGTGCATCTGCATGCACTGGCGTACATACCGCGGTCGCAGCCCTGCGACCAGGTGCCCACCGCCATGTGTTGCGGCCCGGCCCGCGTGCGGGGGGGGGAGCCACGGATCAATTTTCGCACCGGGGCCCCATGGGTCATGTGTACGCCACTGACATTAGCCCTATTGTTTTTCTGGCATCTGTCTTGTGTTTTTGTTTTTTATTTGTCTCTCTTGTGTTTATTTTATGGACTAGCTGCCCTATGCTGATCTGACAATATTCCCGCCTGGACAACAAAAAGGTCCAAAGATTGCAGTTCCTTAATCATGCATTAAAGTGTTTAACATAAAGTTTAAAATATGTCTATTAGAAACATTGTGTGAGAGGTTTGCACATCTGACAGAAAAAAAAAGCATTTTAATTCATAAGCGGTACCTAGAATACAGCACACAAAACTTTACAATCTATTATTTCTAATTATTAAACTTTATTTTTTCTTTTCTACTAATGCTCTCTGCGGGCTGATAAAGTAGCAATGGCTTAATATATAATATTTAAATATACCTACTCACCGTGTTGAATTCTGAGAGATGTAAGCAAGTTATTACAGCCATAATTGGGCCAGAAGTTGAAGATTATCACAATGACTGTAAATATGGAGAATATAAATTTCATACAAAAAGCTGTGAAAACTAACTGACCCCACATCTACGGCTAGGAAGAAAGTCAGGTATATTGTATTGCAGAGAACAAATACCTGATCAACACATGCTGTGCAGGTACACAGAAAATCAAATAGATTACACTGCACAACAGCGGGTCACAAACACATATGTTCTGATGTACAAAAATAGACAAGGATCATTACATATGCTATGTTGCTTGAGAGTATAGCATAAAATACACAATACATTTTAAGAGAACATATTGCACTCATAAATACTGCAAGTTATATGCATTCTAGAGGACTGCATTTCTTACAATGACATGGTGTATGTTCTTTTGCTTTCAGCCCATATGTCCATGTCAATTGGTTTACCAAACCCTTACCCATATTAATTTATTTCTACCATCCTAAACCCCGTTTTACCCAACTAAAATGTATTATTATTATGATTTATATAGAGCCAACAGATTCCGTAGTACTTTACAATATTATTAGAGGGGGGATTTGACTATAAATAGGACAATTACAAGAAAACTTACAGAAACGAAGGGTTGAAGAGGGCACTGCTCAAATGAGCTTAAGGTCTATAGGAGGTGGGGTATAAAACACATTAGGACAGGGAATATGAGTCAAATTAGGTGGGAGTGGAGCAGAGCTGGAGGAGAGAGTAGAGTGCTGCCCTTTCAGAGAGAGCAAGAGGCAGGTATGTGAGGTAGAGGTTAGTCTGGGAGGCCATAGGCTTTACTAAAGAAAATAGTTTTAAGGCACTTCTTAAATGATTGAAGACTAGGGGAGAATCTGGTGGTAGGCAGGCTATTCCATACACTGATGTACCCTGATAATCTAGAGGTTAAGACTCAAATTTACTAAAGCCAATTCAAATACCCATGAGTGATTCAATGTATATCCCAGTTCGTCCTTGATTACACATACTATTTGACAGCCTGTTCCAGATTGATATTTGTTGCTCACCAGGTCTATTCCTGACTAATCTCTGGCTGCATCCTTGACTGTACCTGCTTCGTAATCTTATTTGATACTGTGCATGCATACTGTTCCAACCATGCTAACATGCTAACATCTGTATATTTGTATTACCATTTATGACAAGTATGTTAGCCATCAGCTAAAGTTCAAGGGTGCAATTTAAAACAGCGCTGTTACGGTCAGGGGCCCTTGCTGAATTTGCAAAGACCCCGACACTGACATGGCCGCTGGTGGTTCGGTGGCCATGGGGGGCAGGTAAGGGTGAAATTACCATCCTATACCTGTCCCTCACAGGCGCCACAAATTTGATCATTCTACTCCTCTTCAACCCCTAGAACTTCTGGGCCAGGAGCAGATGTCACTGCTTTACTCTCTTGCATGTGTGAGAGTACAGAATTTAGGTCTATGGAGAATCTCACAAGACTGTGTGATCCTCCATTGACACAGCAAATTCACTGCAGCCATCATTGATGATGGCAGGCAGTGACATCATAGGCCATCCTACTATAGGGAAGTTACCTCCCATAAATCATTTCACTGGCAATAAAAAGCAGAGGCAATAGATATTCAGACTCACTCTCTCTTTATGTGAATTTTTTACAATTTAAAACTGAATTTAAACTTCCTTGCCCCCACATGAGAACAGCACTTAGTCCACCTTCAGCTGATCCAGATGCAATAAGCAAGCCTGAATTTTAAACTTCCCTGCCTCACGTCAGCTCTAACTCTTTAGTGCAAGGGAAGGGCTGGGGACATTTGTAAGTAATAGGTTGTAGTTTGTTCATGTTCTGCATTGAATTATTATTCATTGTTATTGCTATCATTTGTTATAGCCTGTTACTTGCTATAATTACAGTAGTAAATTGGCATTAGATATTACGTTTTATGTATATTCTATTCATATATTCGACCAGAATACCTATAAATGTAAAAAAATATTAATGTTGCAACTTATTGCTTCATTAATGTATATTAATTAAAAGATTAATATTCATATTTAAGCAATGACCACAACAAAGCCTGGCCAGCATGGTGGATAGATGGGCATTAAGTGGGCTCCTCACATACAGGTGGGAAATCTTGACTTTCTGCTCCAAATCTACCTTCAGAGGTAGGTCTACCACATACTTACCTGCTCTTGTCTACTGTGGTGCGCTTCTACAACAGTTTAAAGCATTCTTGTACCACCTATGGCCCTACATGGATTTGTGGCCAAGATGCTTGGAGTGATCCTTTGTAAGAAGAAACAACTGATCTCTCAGCAGTTTTTAAAGATTACAGCGGTTCTCTCCCCCTCTTGACCACTAGGAGGTATCACAATCTACACCAAGGAAAAGCTACCTAAACATCAAGAGGCATACAGAATCTTATTACCTTACCATGATAAGGTCTCACGGCAGATCCAAGATGGTATCTGAAGCGACTCGAGTAGCGGTCAGTATGATAGACACTAGAACAATTTTAACCATGCAATGTAAACAGTGCCATTCCAGCAAAACAAATAGAAAATAGAAAATGGGTTACATAGGCTCAAGAACCATAGTCTGGTTTTTGTTGTTGATCAAAAAGAAGGCAAAAAAATCCAGTTTGAAGCACTTCCAACATTGCAACAAACTAGAAATAAAATGCTTTTTTGACCCCAGAATGGCAGCCCGATTTATCCTTGGATCAAGAAGCTATTACCCTACATTTTGTTAAACTTTCTTCATAGCTAAAATGCTCTATTCCTTTTATTAATTTTGTAGCCCACCTCTGCACTTTTTCTAGGGTCATTATATCCTACATATAATAAATAATATACAGATGCCCAATTGCACAACATATGTCAGAATCCTATCCAGACAATCAAGAAATTGTTTTATTTTATTGCTGCATTTCCTGTTTCTCGCCTCTAGTTGCCTCCCTTGCCATAGTCAATCCTCAGTTGCTCTCACCTGCCTCATATGATCTTCCAAGTCTGCTATAAAAGGCCACACCCAACTCTTCACATGACCTTTACATTGAAGCCAGTGTTCTGACATAGAACTTCTGATCCTGGCTCCTGAAAACATCCTGTATTTATCTGCATTATTTCAATCTGAAGTGACTTACCTGCTTGATCTACCATATTGAATCTACTTACCTGTTTCAACTGCTGCAACACTGCATGATCCTGTAAGCAACCTGTATTACATTATACCGGAATCTATTTACCTGTTACAACTACTGCAACTCTGCATAATCCTGTAAGCAACCTATACTATATTATACTGAAAGTACTTACCAGCTTTAACCATTTCAACCCTGTATCATCCTGAACCTGGCTATAGTGTGACATTCCACAGATTAGTAATCTACTTGGAAATAACGTCAAACCTACTTGTATATAAAAAAACTTTATTCATTTACTTTCAAGATATCCTTTTTGTGGCATATTGCCTTAATTATTTCTTCCCAGTAAATTGTTATGTCTAAAAAGACAAATAAAGTTTCAACCAATAACCATGGCAATCGTCTCCTCTCTGACCTGCTCAGGAACATGACAACATATTTAAGATGGGTAAAAATAAGAAAATCACCTGGTAATGTAGACCAGGATAAGTAGATCAGATGAAGATCTATAATAACTAGAAAAGCTACAATTTCTGGGGAAATTGTGTGAAGTGTTCTTGCCTCCATCAGTAGTCTACAACTGGAGTGGGTGGAGGAACCGGGTCGAGTGGCTTGAGTAACTGTTGTGTGGTTGGAGGGGCTTGGAAAGGTTGGACTGGGCAGAGTAACTGTGTGGAGTGTTTGGAGAGAGTAAAGATAGTAAACATTACACTAACCAATTGATTGTTAAAATTTAAAAAGTGCACATGGCAAGCTTGATAGAGTGAGAAATGCATTTCAACTTTTATTTATTTATATAGCACATTTAATTGCAATGTTGTTGCCCAAAGTGCTTCACAGTTACATTAAAACATACATTTATAAAAACATTAGCAGGTGTACAAAAGGCCCTGTCTATGACATCACTTGCTGCTCCAGCCTGGCACAGGTCAGAGTATTTTTGGCGGTTGCCATCTTCAAACGGTCGTATTTTAAAAACTATAAATCCTACAGCAAAGAGCTTTATATTGTGAGAATCACAAGACCAAGACCTACATTTTTGCATAGTATGTCTCTGAAATATTAAAAATGAAGGCACAGTTGCAGTTTAGAAATTGCCCTTCAAATTTGAGCTGGCTAGAGTGGAGTTTCGATGAATGTCAAGGGACGGCGTGAGTTGCAAACAAATGGTCATATTGTGAAAACTATCAGGACTATGGCTTAGCCATGTTTAGCGGCAGCGGGGATAGCTGAACGTTTTGATATAAGATTTGTGTAGGTGGGCTTGAAAATGAGGGAGTGGTGAGAGTTTAGAAATCATGTCCTGATTTTTCAAAACTCTAGTTTTGAACATTTTGCCATTCATTCCTATGGGAACAATTTCGCCACAAGAACGACGATATTCTGTGAACCATTCGGCGAAACGTTCCACAGAGTGATAGAAATCCAATCGGGAACAATCCGCACATTTCGGTATATTACGGTCTATGTAGTGTAAAAACTGTGGGAGGAGTTAGGGTGGTAAATTTGGCTATAATAAGAATAATATATATGTGAGATAACATTTAGTCTTGCTATGCAAGAACACTTAATAATAATATATATGTGAGATAACATTAAGTGGTCTTGCTATGCCAGAACACTTAATAATAAACACAACATTTTATAAGAAGTCTCAATCACAAGAAATAATTACATATCCCTGAGGAAGTCCCCAGCCAGACGAAACACGTTGGATTCTAACCATCTTTGACTTTGTCTCTTATTTTATTTATCTTTTATGTTTTTTTTGCTGCTGTTGGCAATTGTATTAGATCCACCACGTTCCTGCTATATTCCATATTTTACTCCAGTCTGTAAGTGCATTCAAATAAAACTTTTTCATGTTCTAATTTTACTTCACTATATGAGTTTTTTTTTTCCTTTCCATTCCATATATACAAGGGTGCACATAATCTGAGATCGCTTTTGGTCCATTTTAACCCCTGGTGGGGTGAAAAGCCTGAATCGTCACATGTTTATGAGTTTTCTACTAACATCATACTTTTAACTTTACCATAACTATATTACACTATGTTGTGTTTAATTATTATTATTATAGCTTTTCATCTGATCTACTTATCCTGGTCTACATTACCAGGTGGCTTTCTTATTTTTATATGTATACTAGGTGTTTTTCCCCACTCTTTGTTGTGTTTATCATTTATTAGGAGTTTGTGAGGTACACCTGGGAACACTTAGTTTTCTACATATGTATTG